CCCAAACCCCCCCCACCCACCCCAGAAATGATAAAGCACACAGACTGCAGACTTTAAAAGTGTTAACAGGGTCACCACCAGTCCTCCATCCCCCCCCAGCCCAGCCCAAACCACCAAGGCACATCAGACTGCCCTCCCTCTAGGACTCCCCTCACCCCACTTTTCCCCCCTCTCCCCCATTTTTCAAGAGTGAAGCGGACACAAACATTTTTGTCGTTAGGAAGCAGCAAGTGCTTTCATCACTGTCTTTTGTACTGGTAAAAAGAAATCTTTAAGAAAATGCATCCTAACTGCCACCTTAGTGTTTCCATGGGAAATGTTAATCATCTTTAAACACATTCCCTGATGGGCATTGCCACCAGTTGGCCTTTGCAGAATTGCGATCAAATTTTACACACCTCAGCTTTGTCAGAGAGACCCTAAGCCCCTCGACATTAGGTATGCCTTTTTTCTTTTCCCTTTTTAAGAAGTTGTTCTAGGTTCGCTTGCTACAGAAGCCAGACGCCTGCTGGAAGGCTACCTTTGGTGCAATTCTAGCTTCCCACCAGCTCAACCCCACCTTCTTTGCAAGCCAAAATTATTGCCCTGAATTGTAATGTGTGAAGATTTTCAGAAAGAAGAGCAAACAGATACATGCAACCCCCCAACCCTGGGAGGTCAGGACCGGGACCTGCTCTTTCCCACCACCAGAGAAGGGACTGTCCCCTCGCAGAGGTCCGTATCAACTCATTCCACTTGTGCTCCTCTTCAGTGCTCTGTATCCGAGACGTAGGAAGGCTGAGTCCATCTCCACACTAGCATATCTTCTCCTGCTATTCTGTGCGACTCTGTCTGAATCCGGGACTCATTTGAAGCCAGAAAGTCCACAGCTCTCTCCCAGATGCGCTTCATTTTTTTTCTGCAAGAAACAGCAAGAAAAAGAAAAATAAATTAGAATTGTGCTTTCCTGCTTAGAGCAACCGTGGCTGCTGATCAAGCTGCCGCTAGCTGCCTCCTGTTCCCTCTGCAGACAGTAAAGGAGATTAAACCAGAACTTTGGTTTAGAAGCAATTTCAGGCCAGGACGTGAAAACACAAGTCCTGCCTGGGGGGGAAAGATGAGACCCTCTGTCAGTCCCAGTAATTGATGGCTGCCCTGAATTTCAAGCTCAATTCGTGTTGCAAAGGGACTCGATTAGCAAACTGCCCTCACCCTTCCTGCATGCAGAGATATCTCAGACCAGGGAGGACAAACTGGAGTTCATCCCAGTTTTCAATCAGTGTCTGGTAAACGTGGGCACCACACACACAGAAATGGGATCAAAACAGCTGAAATCAGCACTGCTAGGAAAGGGAGTTCTAGGAAAAGGAGTTTTGTGATCGATAAAGAGTGAGAATGTTTAACACTTTGCAGCACACGTAGTGCTCTGTGCTGCCAGGAGAACACAACAGCTTCACCTCACTGCACATCCCTAACTCAAACTGGTAACTTTCCAGTCAGCAACACACAAAGCCGCTTCAGAAGAGCCCGATACCCTGTTCAATCACGGGAAGGTTTGCTCCAAAAAGCACAGCGCCTGTCTGGAGAATAAGGCACAACGGCTCAGAGGATGGCATCCTACACACGTTAGATGAAGGAAAGAAAATGAGATGCTCCATGCCCAAGCAAAACACAGCCCAATTACTGTTTGATAGAACGATGACAGCACACCTGTGTGACCACACAAAATATCAGCCCTGGGACTGTCACGTTCATCTGCGATGGGTTAAGGCACAGCCTGAGTTATGTCAAAATCCTTTCTAAACTGAAAGGCCAGACAGGCTCTTCTTGCAGTCCAGCTTCCCATCAATTGTCTGCTCGTGGTCTGTAACTGTGGCTTTTAGCCGAGCCGAACAACATCAAGCTGACAGCCCTCCTTAATGAGGAAAGTTCAGCTCACCTGCTTTGAGGAGGGATGAGGCTGTCCCGAACGTGGAAAATGCCAACATAGGGGTAACGCTCCACATTCCTTTCCCATTCCTTATAGTGGTCCTGGACAACAGCTGGAGGAGAGGAGAAGAAAACGGTGAGAGACCCCAACATTGCAGAGAGAAAACAGAGCTACTTGCATTTACAGAGCTATTAGATTCTACCTATGATCTTCTTCACCATTTCATACATGGCTTGTTCCTCTTCCTCCATCTTCCGCCAGCGGTACCGAAGGAAGATCAGGATCCCCCAAAGAGTTATCAGACCTAGAAGAGTAAGAACAAACGGCATTCAATAACCGACGGACGTGTACTTGCTGGATGCCAGCAGTTTTATTCCTGACACTGCCTTTCCCCAGAGGCAGCTTTTGCTCCCTGCTACCCAAGCCTGCCTGGAACCAAATCCAAGCAATCATTTTGTTCACCACAGCAGCTGTGCCCCACAAAAACCTCGGTACAGACAACACCTGCAGCAGAAGAGCATGCGTGATGTGGGAAGAGGTGCTTGAAAAGCCTCATCACAGGTTTTTTTTCTCCCTCTCTCTCACCAGAAACTTCAGCACAAGCACAGGGCTTTAATTCCCCAAGTCCCAGAGCTATCTCTTTGCTAGAGGCCTCCCCCACAATAATCACTTAGGAAGACTGTCAAGCTCCACTGCTCCACAGATAGCTGCTTGATAAGGAAATAAAGCCTGGGGCTCCAGCCCAAAATTCAAGAGATCTATATTGAAGGTTTAGCACTGACAAATGCCCCGCTGCAACACGAGCTAACTTTAGTATCTGAGCCTCGACAATAAACATAAATATCCCCTTTCACCCTCACCTTGTCTGGCTAGATTATAAACTCCTCCAGTCAACCCTCAGCTCTCGTTATCACCTTGCTCTGTAAGACCTCTGTCTCAGCTGGGGCATGACAGACTATTCCAATAAAACCTCTAACACCGAAATGCTACAAGTCATTATTAAAGAGGCGAGAAGACTTTGCAGCTTAGTGCAAGAAAAGAAAGAAAAAGCCCCGATCTCTTCGATAGGTTAACGTACTTATTTTGCAGACCACAGTAATGGGTACTTGAGGAATACCCAGAGAGCTAATCAGCTCGCTGATTTAAAGTAAATGTTAAGCACTCGCAGCCCAAGAGCAGGTCTACAGGTCTCCCTCTGCTGCCAGAACAAAGGTTAATTAGAAATTAACTCATCAGCGGATTTATTTCACCTCTGTTAGTAATTTCATACGGCTGGAAGAACGTGTGCGCGCACACAAGTTCACCTGCACAGCGAGCGAGGGGAGAAGCTGATCGGAAACAGTGATGACTTACTCCAGAAAAACAGGAAGAGGTTCATGATGGCAGTGACCACTGCCCGGCGGAAACGGCAGCCGAGCCCCATCTGCGGATGGGCTGATTCGAGGCAGAACACCTCCTCCACCTTGGTAACTGGTGCCGAAAGGTCTCTGCCTTTCAACCTGATGGGAAAAAGGCAGAAAATCTTCAGTGAAGAGAGCAGGCACTTTAACTGCAGTCTTTAATCAAGACAGGGAGAACAGACTGCAGATGCAGTAACGCCACAGAAGAAAACACACCAACATCCTTGCAGCTCCTCTTTCCAGAACATTTTGGGACTGGCTGCTTAGTGAGGAATGGATATGGCTTTAGAAAAGGCAGCAGGGCTGGAACTCCCACTGGTAAACCCAAGTCTTCCTCTGCAGACTCTCTGACAGCACCTCTCAGCGTGCAGAAGATTAAACTTTAAATTGGATTCCCACCTCCCAGCACAGAGAAATGGAAATGTTTACTGAGTCACTCATCAGCAATTGCAGAGAGAGCAGCTGAGGGGGACTGCGAACGTCCGCGGAGGTTGTGCTGTTTTCCTCAGCGCGGATGAGCATAAACAGTTGAGGTAGAAAAGTGACAACGCATCGACTGCGACCCAGGCGCGCCCTGGGAAAGCATTCACGGCCAAATCGATACCACGTCCTCCTGCAAAACCACTGCCACGTGCTCCCCGATAGGAATTCAACTCACCACTTCATGCACAGGTCTACGCTGATGCCATCCCCTTATTAGATACCCGGAGCCAACAGGCATCAAGTAACCCACGTGAGAGCCAGCAGACTGGGAGGAACTGGACTAAAGGACATTTTATTTTTCTAAGCTACTAATTCATCCTAGGTTTGCAATGAATAACCTATTAGATGTTTTACCAGTGCACAGCTCACAAACTGCTGACAGCCCGACTTTGGTCACCGGCTTCTACACGCAGTTGTTTCCCACCCCCTTGTCTTATTTACAACCCAAATTCCACGAAAACGTTTAAAATATGCAGCAGAATCAGCCCATGCAGAGCTCATTCTCAGTTCTGCCTCTCAGACTAGCACCTAGAAAAAATCATCTCACGTAGCGTTTGCTAAAAATGCCCCCCGCAGGTTTTTAGAGATGCTGAACGCTCATCCTGCACGCAGAGCAGACTACACGCGAGTGGATCCATTCGGTGAACAGCCAGAGTTGCTAATTATGAAAATAAAATAAAAGGGAGTATGTTGTATCACACTGCTCCCGATATGAGCAATGCTGCTGTATAAAAACATGAATCTGAAAACACTGGATCCCAGCCCACAGATCCAACCCTGCTGCTAAGGAAGCTCTGTCCTGTCCTGGGGATTTGCAGCAATAGTCAAAGCGGCACACACTGATCCTCAGATCACAGCAGCAACCGCAGCAGCTTTTTTAGCACAAAAAGTCGAGCAGTGGGAATTCATACAAGCTATGCCCACCGACTCCAGCGTTACTACTGCTACAATTCATTTAATCAGATACATTTAGCAATGTTAAAATGCAAACACATGTTAGACTTCGGAGTTAACACCGACTCAAGGCAGCCCACACTTCCCGGAGGAAGATAATGAAGCCTGCGGACTCTGGATAACAGCCTTTCATTACGTTATTGCCTGAGCGATGTATTTCTCACCTGAAAAAATTGTATTTCTGCTGTTTCCCATGTACTAAAGAGACTGCTAGCTGAGAAACCCAGGAGAAAAATCCCTGACCGATGACTGATTGACACCCTACGTAGTCAAACATTCCTTATAACATGTGCTGTGTGCCTCACCAGAAAGACGGCTGATGCTGAAGAAAAGACAGCATTCAACAACCCATTTTCCTCTCCTCATTGAGATTTTCTCCAAAGGATCCCAAAGCATGGGTGATGTTACCTACTGCTTTGCTGCTCAATAAGCCTTTTGGTCAAAGGATGCAGCTCCACACAACATTTGAGCTCTGTCTACAGTAATGGTACTGAAGAGGAGTTATCTTGGGAAAAAGGAGTATATGGGCAGCTTTAACAAGTGTGCTCTTGTCCCAGGACCACGGGGAGGACACCAGGACCACGGGGAGGACACCAGGACCACGGGGAGGACACCAGGACAACTTCTAAACCTTGCAGGAAGCACAGCACAACCCTCGACAGCCACAAGCTGCCCTGACCTCAGGTTTACGCCTCATCTGCAAGACAGCAGAATGAACGCAATGTCCCCCGGTGGCTGGGAAACAGAGTCCCCAGGAGTGAGCTCAGTTGCCAATTTTTGCTGCAGGGCTGTGCTTTTCGTTTGGAAGCTGGCCCAGCAAGCACTGCCAAAGCCAATTCCAGATTATCTGCTGCAATCTAATGAGGTATGGGAGCTTTTAGGGCACACCACAGAGAATGTCAAATTACATATCAGGCAACATCGAAGAAACGTCACTTGGACACAGTGGGCTTCCACTTACCATATTCCTAAATCCTTGTTACTGTTTAGTATCCAGTGCAGGGCAGCTTCAAACTTCTGCGGGGAGCTACCAGTTATATTCTGTTGAGAAGAATCCATAAGAAGATTATGTCTCATTCATCTAGAACGCTGAATAAACTTATTTCATTACAGCAGCGGGAGAATTCTTTCTCTATGGCCTGTCCCTAAGTTAACCCTAATCATAATCCTGCAAACTGGAGGAAGGAAAACTCAATCTGAAGGTCTGTCTGGTCTGAAGTCTTGTGACTACAGTAGATGATGCATGAAGCACTCTGGAAAAGAACACCATCCCAGACTGTTAAGACTAACCACTAAATACAACATAATCTCACTGACAGTTTACCATGAAAGAAATGGAATGCTAGATCAGAGCAGTCTGTCTGCTGACACTTTGGGGTATAGAAAAATCCTTCTTCTGCCCAGCCCTCCATCCAGGGAAATTTCTGGTTTCAGAAGACTGATGACTACGGTGAAACAACAAACCATTAAGTTAAGATTTACAGGGGCTGAAGCAGAGATGTAGGAGAAGGTGATTTTCAAAAGGACCGCTGAGAACAGGGCTGGCCAAAGGGGAAGCTGGAGATATGGGAAAGAATCAAAATAGGATGAGGAAGTAAAACAGATGGCAAATTGCTTTAGTATCTATTATTGATTGCCTTATGAGAGACGAAGCACTAGGTTATAACAATAGCTGTTCACAGCCTACTCACCACCACGTGATCCTTCGCTTCACTAACCCAAATGCATTTGCTTTTTAGATTCTCAGGGTTTCCGCATTCAAAATTACCTGGTGTAAAGGAAAAAAAAAAAAAGAAGAACAAAAGAGTCAAACAGAAATAACGTTTCGGAAGAAAAATAAAGAGGCCTTAAACAGTTCAGAAATACACTGAACTATCTGGAAATGCTATCCTTTCAAATTGGCTGTAGCTCTGGGCAAAATGATTACAAGGTAAGATTTATACTGTAGGCAGATAAGATGATGACTATTAATAAAAATGCTCAGCCACTGCACATAGGGTGGAGAAGGGCAATCAAACCTCATGCTTCAGTGTATGAGCTACTCAACACAGAATGAAGGGGAAAAAAGATCCTGTTTCTCCCTCTTGCAGAGCACATAACCGCCTCTCTGACCTAACGCCCTGCAGAGGGGCTCCTTCCATCAGGTATCAAAGGCTGCGGTGTTGGAGTTAATGATCAGCACTGAAAATGCTTCTAGGGAGCCTAAATCACAGCTTTACCTTCTATCCAGGCAGAGGAATGCTGGCGAGGAACCAAACCTTCTAAATCTAGCTTCACTAAGTTAACTCAACAACTACGCTAAGAGACTACGGAAAACTGGTGGAAATGTCACTGAAATCCGATTTGAAAAGAGATGGAAATTCTGTGAAGCTGAAGAATCTCAAGGACTCAGCCTCATTGAGGCCTGAGATCTAAAAAACAGTGCACTTGTTTATTATCGTCCACCTTGCTGAACAAGTTCCTGCTCATCCACTGAATCTGCAGCAGCCTTCTCCATCCCAAAACGCTGGTTATGGACCAGGTTTGCTCATGCATAGTAGAGACCAGGTGAACTGCTGTGCTTGGTGAGCTCCTCAGCTGAGAGAGCCTGTCTTACACTGTACCCAGGGAAAAAAGAGAGGCACTCACATCATCAGCTACCACGTTTCAAGCAGAGAGCTGCCAATTTCTGAAGTCGTTTTAACTCGATTTGTAAGACCACATCAGCTTCCACTTACTGGCTCTGAGTGTCCTGAAGACAATTTCAAGATGCTGGTAGTACAGAACCACGGAGCTGAATATTTCTACCTCCAATTTCTAATACATCAAGTGCAAATAAGGACCACTCCACAAGAGCACGGTGATACGAGTGCATTAACTGAGCACTATTCAGCATAAAAATAAACAACATCTTCTTCTATTTTTCTATTACCTGGCTTTCTTAGAGCTCTTCAAGTGGAACTGACTGTTCCATAAACCCTTGCGCTCAAACCCAGGTTAAAAACGGCCAGACAGCTGGGAGAGGCAGTTTGCTGAATGCTCCTAAGCATTTTCTAATGACGACTGGAACTTACCAGCTTGTACGGACAAGTAGTTATACAGCTCGTGCAGCACGTTCATTATCACGTCCTTCTGCTTAGCTTGACAGAACTGCAAGGCAGAAACAGGTAAGAAACTAAAAATACCAACCCATTAGCACCACTCGTTTGAATTAAACACCTGCAGCAGAAATCCGCAGTCAAAACCGAGCTGGTGCATGCTCTGAAAGGGCCAGCGACAACCCCAGCCCACACTGCACCCCCAAATGTCCCCTCTGCCCGAGCACAGATGAACATCACAGGAGATTAACCACAGCTCTGAACCCAACACGAAACGTTCTCTCTCCCAACGCTGCATTATGATAACAGAAACAGGGCTGTACAAACACTTTCTGGCGGAGTTCTTAGGGAATTAGCTGGATTAAATCTCCCATTGTTAAAGCTGAACGCAGCTTTATTGCAAACCAATATCGCTATTAAAGGAAATGATTCACATAATTGGGAATTTAAGGGGTTTTTTTTTAATCTTTCAGAGTCTCAAATACAGCCTTAATTTAATCCGGCCCATTAATTCCAACTCATCAAGCCACAGTTTTTCTGTAAAACGATAGAAGTAATAATTTTACAGTGATACCAATAGGGGTGGAAGTCACCTAGAATAATGACTGTGCTGCGAGAATCCCCTTGCCACAATATTCCAAGATAAAGAAAGAGATGCTTACACCATCCGTTCCTTTGTCACAATCCACGGGCAAGAGATTAACTACGAGAGAGAAGGGGAGGGCGCGTTAGTTGGCTGCAAAACAAGGGCTTTGATCAAGAAAGTCATTATCCTTTTAAAAGCAGGCTCTGCTTTAAAGGCTGATTCTGCTATTCTTAATCTCACCCTCCACAGCACCTTGCTATGCAAACAGCGCATTCAAAGCGCTGCTGTGGTAGGCAGCGCTGCGAGCAAAACAAATAAACCGGGTGCAGATGACAAACCCTGTTCAGCTGGAAAGTAAAAACCGGGGTCTGAATGTTTAACGGCTCCTTTTAAGTGGGTGTTTGGTGCTCCTCTGCTTTTACAACCCAGTAACGCCATTCGCTGCATGCCACGGTCACCTGAAATACCACCGTGATAACAGGGATTTAAATCAAGCCTCCTCAAGGCAAAAGCAGAGGATTTATTTTAGTTGGAGCCGGTAGCTGTGCAGATTATGGCCTCTGGTTTAACAGCTCCCTGCCGCCCCGACAGCTGGATATACACCAGCCCAGCGTGCAGGACTTCCTGCAACCTGAACCACCTCCGAATTGAACGTCTTTGCAGCTGTGCTGCAAGATTTCCTGCTTCAAAATACCACCGGTTTTGAAATATCTAGGAGTCACAAAGGGTGCATCAGACATTGAGCAGTTTAGTCCAACTTTGAGAAGGCAGGAAACAGCTTTTAAGCCCCTGCAGGCACAACATGCTGAGTTTTGGGACTCCCACCTTCCCAACCACACCCCAGATCCCTTCCTCTTTCAGTTCCAAGCCATGAAATGACAACATTTCCATCTGCTCTAGCCGGGGAGCCCTGCTTCAAAACCCAGGTGACAGGGAAGCCCATTTTCATCTCCTATCGAAGCTCTGCCACACTCGGAGCGCCCAAGGACCAATTCAAGCTCTGCACTGCTCACGTGGCCGGGACGAAGGCCAGCAGGGGCTGTGCTCTGCAGAGACCAACATTAAAAACACAGGCCAGGCAGTCAGACAGACATTGTGTTACACCATGGACAATCATAAAACACATCCTTGGCCGAGCACGAGTGTCACTCTCCATAAAACCCACGGCTTTAGAGAACCGAAGGCCAAACTCATTTGAAAAAAGCACACCCTTGACTCACTTTCCATGACTAACAAGGTTTCCCCATGGGCAAGGGGGGATGGAAATGAGGACAGAAGCAGAGACGCCAGGTTGCGGCAATGAAAATGATAAACGCGGCGGCAACGGAAGCAACAAAGGGAAAGCAGAACAGAAAGGTAAAGAATAAAGTTTAAAACCAGTGCACGTACAGTTCTCCTCTGTCCTGTCAAGCCAGCCTGACCCAACCATCTTCGCCATGAGGATGCCCAGAAAAATCAGCAGCAGCACGAAGCTGGCGAGGCAAAGGAACTGGGAGAGGTAATACTCGAGGCCTTTGCTCTTTCCATCCGTCTGCTGCTTCGGGGCTGACCGCAACAAGCGAGGGCGGGTGGTTACTCCCTGTCCTGCTCCTGACACTTCCCATCGGCTCCCTGAGCCTGCATCGCTCTTAGCCCTCCATGGGAGCCGCCGGATCAAGCCCCCTCCCCAGCTGCTGGGGTTCGGGTCCCTGTCTGCCTCCTTCCGAACACTGGAGGCCAAGTCCTCTTTCCC